ACGCGAGAGCCGCCAAGCCAGCAGGCCGCTCACCAGGCGTTCCAGGAGGCTGTCCCCGGAATGCGCGCTTTTCCGCACGCAAAAACCTGCGTTGTCCACAAGCATGCACCCGCGTGCGAGCACCGTGTGGCACTTACCCACACGCGCGGGGCTCTGTGCTACTCCGGTAGACGTGCACAACACACACAAGTGCTAAAAGACGAGGGTCCCGGACCCTGCACCCATCAGGACGATCCCTGCCCGGAACCCGGGCGCTGCCCGCCAAGGCTGCCTCTGTGGCTGAGCCATGCCACGCCCGGACCCTCCCCTCCTCCAGCGGAAGCTCCCGCTGAAGCGGGGGACCAGGGCGGCCGGGTGCCTGCCCGTGCCGGGAGGCGGCATGGCTGCCAGGACAGGGCTTCTCATCAGACAAGACACGTTCAACGGCCCAGCTCCCAGCTGCCCCCAAACCCAGCGCGGGGGGCCCCTCAATTTACTTGGCTGCAACTCCGGTCCCTCCCTTCCTGCAGCGCCCCCGCCCTCCTGCCGGCTGCCTCCACCACCCCCCCCCCACCCCCACCCGAAGGGCCAGAGCTGAAGGGCCAGAGCGATGTGGGCAGGGCTGAGCCACAGCAGGACCACTAGCCGCCTTCTTAGGGGCACCTGTTTGTCCTGCCCTTGGATGTCTGGCCTGGGCCCAGGGCCTAAGGAGTCAGACCTGCAGGGGAGCCGTCCTGACCACCCAGCTGCCACCAGCAGCCACCGACCCCTCCCTTGCGCTGCGGCGCGTCCAGTTAGCAACGAAAGTGCTCGTCGTGGCCCCAGGTCAGTGAGCAGCTCAGACCCCCCGGCAGCAGGACAAGCCACACGAGGACCTGGTGAGAGGATGTGCTGCACACGTGAGCTCACTGGGGGACGTGGTGGACGGTGCTGTGGACGGCTCTGCTCAGGAAGCCTAGGCCTTGCCCTGCCCTCTGCAAAGGAAACCACCATTTGCTCTCGGCCTCCCCCCTTTTCCTGCCTGGAATGTGGACGTGATGGCTGGGGTACTAGCAGCTGCCTTAGCACCAGGAGGAGTAAGAGACCAGGCTGCTGACCCAGCACCTTGCATCCAGCTTCCTTCTGGGAGGGACAACCCACCCTCTTCCACATGATGAGCTGCTGTGACTTGCATTTTCAGTCACAAGCAGCACAGCAGGAACTAGATGACCACCACACCCCCTCTCAGCCCCCCCCCCCAGATGGCATCCCCAGTCTGTTCCACAGTAACGTTGGGTCAGCCCCAAGCCAGCCTTTGTGTGCCCCTCACCCACCCGCCCAGGACCTCCACCACCAGTCTGTGTTTGGGACAGGAGCTCAGCCAGCAGGAGCAGACATCTTCCTCACTCACACTTGCCACTGTCCCCTCCCCTAGAGGCCTCCTAGTGCAGCCCAGGGCCCCCCACTGAGCTACGGCGGACAGCTGTGCCTGCCCCCACCAGACTGCGCTTCCTTGGCATGTGCTGGGTGTGGCCCAAGGACCCGCCACAGACTGGGACAGAAAGACTGGCTGGGAATGAACGGGGTGGGGGGCAGCCACCCTGCCAGGTGGCAGGCCAGAGGATGGGGCACCTTAGCCTGCTAGATGGGGAACGTGATGGCCAAGTCCATCAGACCCAGGGGCATGCGTCTGCAGGAGGCAGAGGGAGGGCTGCTCACACAGGCGCCCAGAGCCTGGAGGGCTGACCAGGACAGATTCTCTAATTACACATCGTGATGTAATTAGAATCTGTTCCCAACTTAGGAGCCCGGAGGCGGGAATAATTACTGCTGTGCACAAGCCCTGGGCACCCAAGCAGGGAGACAGGCGCCCAAACCCTGTGCTGTCCTTGTTGGGCACTGACTGGAACCCAGAGTGGAGGTCAAGGGTCTCAGTGGGGGTCCAGGGGCGGGGCGGGGGGCTGGAAGCTCTGCATTCCTGAGGACCTCAACCTCAGCAGGGAAAGCACCTGCTACCCCAGCTCCAGCCCCAGCCCGGGGGCACTCCCCTCTCCGGGCTCTTGGGCTCCCTCCTCTGCAGACAAAGTCCCAACCCCCAGGGCCCCCTCTTCTGCCTGCAGAGACCAGAACAGGAACGGAAAAGGCTTCAGCCTGGCAGGAGGCCCCGCAGACTCCATGGCCCAGCAGCCTCTGTGGCACCAGAACACATCTGAATTCAGATACAAGTAAGCACTATTTTCTCCCCAGAATCTGAAAAATCACATTTCCCAATCTTAACAAAGCCTCAACACAAGCCAACATCACAAACACGTCTGTAATTATCACAGTAACCGTGTTATTTTAATACCTTCAGAAAAAAATGCAGTTTATTAAGTCTATTTGACTTCTAAATAAGGAAGCTGTCCACACAAGCCCAGGGTCTCAGGTCCAGAAGCAGGGGACCAGCTGGTCCGGGAACGGGACATCAGAGAGAGACCGGAAGGCTGGCGTCTTGCTATCTCCAGGAGCCGACTGGCTCTCCCGGTATCCTGGAAACGTGCACTGATAGCGGCACCCTGGAACCCAGGTCATGGGGTGGCAGCCAAGAACCCGCTAGGGCCAGGCGGGGGCCAGGCCCCAACATCTCAGCACAACGTGACCAGCCTAAGCAGCCGTGCCGGGCGTTAACGCCACCTGAACGGTATTCCAGAAGCAGTCTGCGCGACACCAGACTTCCATGCGACACGGGGCCTTCACAGGCAGCGCTGCCTGTGCCTGACTCACCATCCAGCTGAGATGGCCCCGCACTGACCCTGGTCTCTGCCCAAGGAAAGGGCTCTGAAGCAGCCAGGGAGCCTGAGCCCACGAGAACGCCAGCATACGGAGGCTGCGGGGCTGCCTCGGGGCCACCCATCACCATCTGCCCGGTGCCAGACCCAGGCCCCTCTTGGTGCAGCCCCGCAAGCCAGACAGCAGAGACAATAAGCCAACGTGAGCCAGTCCTGCCGGCCCGCCTGGAACGGAGTGACCCCGAGGGCCGTGCGTTCACACCAGCTCCTTCCTCCTCTCCAGGCGCTTCTGAGTCAGGGCCCCAGGAACCCTCTCCCCGCTGGACACCCTGTGCAGACACGAGGCCGCCCCACCCCGACCCAGGGCTTGGTCACCTGGGCCAACGTTTCCTGTCTCTGGTTCATTCACTGACTCACTGCCACACCCAACAGGGCAAATCACCCCCTGCCCTCAAGCGTTTGTCTTCGGGACAGCCAGGCAGCTCTGAGAACATAAGGTTAACACCAGGCAGGACAAGGGCTGGGTGCTGAGGTCCGGGGGCACCAGGAGGCCCTCATCACCATGAGGGGACCCCCAGCCCACCGCCCAAGGCCCCAGCGCAGTGCTCTGCTGTCCACGGCTGCCCCACGCCTCCCTGTCCTTCTCCCGCATGGCAGTCCCACCCCACGAAGTCTTTGTCGCCCAGCGCTCTGCCCCATAGGCAAGGTCGCCTCCTCCCTGCCCCACTTGGTGAGTGGCCGTCGACTCTGGATGTGGACCTTCGGTTCACCCAGGAGCTTCCAAGAATCCCACTGCCTTGACCCTCCCCAGACCCAGTGTGTCCCGATGATTCCCGTCTACCTGGAACCTCAGAGCACGATTGTATTTGGAAATGGAACCCGCAGTGGAATTAGCTGAGGGGAGGTCATCCTAAAGGACAGCGGCCTGACCCAGGGACTCCCGGGAGGCAGAGGAGCGACAGGAGTGACGCAGCCACCAGCTGGGGACGCCAGAACTGCTGGCAGATAGGACCGCCCCGTCTGGAGGCCTCCAGAGGCGGCGCGGGCTTGCCAGCAGGGACCAGACTCCACGGGAGAACGCATTCCTGGCGTCTGAAGTCACCTCATCTGCTGACGTGTTGCCCAAGACACAACTTCGGTGGGTGCCGCAGGCAAGCGTCCGGCCCGGCCCACACTTGTGGGGAGAACAGGCAGCTGCGCGTCCGGGGGGACGTCTGTTAAACAGGTCCCACGGCGCCGGTACCGTGCACGCACACATGCACACGCACGCGCGCCAGAAGAATGGGCCAGCAGACACGGCAACCGGGACCCCAGGGGGAAGAGGAGAGGGGTCCTGGGGAGGGAGGATCCTGGTGGGTCACTGGAGTCCTTCAGAAGGGGGTCCCGACGACATCAGGCTGGGGCCGGGGGACCTGCAGAGGTGAGCCTGCGGGTACCATCTGTGCCAGAGACACAGACCCACGCAGCCCTGCACGAACACAACTGTTCCTCTCACCACTTAACCTGCCATGTCGTCACACCCACGCCGTGCACACCAGAAACCACGGACGTGCTCGCTTCCCTTCCTGCTCAGCGGCAGGCGTCCAGCCACACCCAGGGGACACCCGGAACGACCTCTCCCGCCACAGCGGTCACCGGTGTCCGGCACTCTGCTCTGGGGCTGAGGTCTCCACACATTCGAGGCCTCCCGGTGCGGCGGGGGGGGGGGGTTCTTCAGAGGTCAGTGGTCAGGGCAGCCTACCCTCCACTGCCCATGGTACAGGCTCCCCCGGCACACCCTGGAGCTGCAGGAGGCCAGAAAGTATCTTCCCTTCAGATAACACGTAACACACTCGCAGTCACCGCCACCAAACTCGGACGTTCGGAAAAGCGTGATGGAGAAACGTCAAGACGGCGGCAGGGCCCCACTCGGGTTCTCCCGCATGTGTTTATTGCAAACGCGAGTCGATCACAAACACCACATTGTAAACAACTCATATCACTTATGGGGAACCGGTGTCCGTGCTGAGGACGAGAGAGCGTCGTCGCTCAGAGGCTGGTGTCCAGACGGCCGTGCTGACCTCCGGCCGAAAGGACTCAGGCTCCCACCCGCAGCCTCAGAGGCCACACCTGTCCCTTTCTGCGTCCTGTTCCTGGGAGGCGCGGCGCTGTGTGCTCTGGTGGCGAGAAAGGGTCCAGGATGCCCAATGGGGGTGGGGCACAGGCGCAGATTCCCTTCAGCCACCCATGCCCAGAGAGCCTTGGGAGACGCTGTTCTGTCTGGGAGCGGCGGGCACACTAGCCGTGGCACCAGAGGTCGACGACATTTCCAGAGCTCACGCCAGTTCGGCCACAAAGCCCAGAGTGCCTGGCTCTTGGACGCCCCGCCCGCACGCCACAGCCAGGCAAGGGGTACTGGGTATCCCAGCCCTGGCCCCGAGGGTGATGGGGCTTCCCTGGGTCTGGAGCTGCTGCCCTGGGTGCCCAGGCCACTGGGCCACACGACCAGCACCACTGACCCCACGGGACGTGGACAGGGTGCCCCCACACCACACACACCCCCCGGACAAGTCCAGGCCCTTAGGGGTGAAGTCTGTCCCTGCAGCCTGGCCTCCAAACCCCAGGCTTCGGACAGGAAATGCCCATCTTGCTCTCGGGCAGGACCAGGTCTGCGCCGTCTCCGGACGGCTGGACGGCGGCGGCCCTGCTCACCTCAATGCCAGGTGCAGGTCGGGAGCGATGCGGGCTTGGAGCTCAAGGGAGACACGGGGGGGAAAGGGCTGGGGGAGGGGCACGGAGGCCATGACCCAAGAGGAGCAGACAGGAGCCCCTGGGAACTGGGAGGGCAGCAGCCGCCCACAGAATCCGCCTGGACAGCATCTCGGGCTGCAGAGGAGCTGGGGAGGCGCATAGCCAGCCGGGTGGGGGATCGTGCCGAGGGACCCTGGGCAGCCCGAGAGCAGTCTGGAAGGAAGCCCAGGGACTGTGGGGAGCACAGGGGAGCTGCCCTCACCCCAACACCTGCGACCGTGCCCTCACTTTCGCGGTGGGCTCTCTGGCCAGGTTCGGGGCAAGGACGGCAAGGGGCGGATCCCTGGAGCTCCTGGGATGCCTCCGGGCTGCATCAGAGCTGGCTGCCGCCGTCCAGCTGCACCTGCCGGGCCAGCTGTTGCCCGATGGCCAGGAGGGGGCTGGCCCTGTAGGCTGGACTGGCCAGCAGCTCCCGAAACCGAGCCCTTTCTTCCTCCCTGAAAGAAGCGACATCAGAGCAGGTCAGCAAACCCCAAGGCTTCCACGTGGGGAGGGGGGTGGGGAGGGGGAGCATCGGCAGCTTCCCGGGCCGGCCGTGCCGTCTCTGGGCACCTCGGGGCAAGCTAGACACTGGAGTAGGCCAGGCGCCAAGAGGTTACACAGGGCAGAGTCCCTGGGGCCTGAGGGTGGCCTCGGGGAGGTGGGTGGGGGCAGTGGCACCATGGGGGTGGGTGGGGAAGGCAGCAGGGCAGGGAGGGGGCTCAGGAGCAGCCTGGCTGGGTCAGGCCCCAGGGGGACTGGCCCGGGATGGGGAGGGGGGGAGTGGCCGCCCTGGGGCCCCTCGGGACCACACAGGCTCTGGAACCACCGTACCAGAGCCGTGGCTGAGGGACTGGCACCCCTGCCCACCCCCCAGGACGTGGGCTCCGGGCCCCCCACCCCCAACTCCGATGCGGAGCTGCTATTCAAGGCAGGAAGAAGCGGACACACGTGGGGAGGCAGACGCGGCCCGATGTAAGAGGCGCCCGCCCTCCCTCCCGCGCTGCCGCCCCTGGGCCCAAGATGGGCCATGCCCACAAACGGGCGCCTGGCGGGAGCTGGAGGCTTCCTCTGGCGGAGGCCCGAGCCCCAGCGGTCCACAGTGGTGGCCGCCACTCTCGCCACGTGGGTCTCTACGCCCAGCCAGCCCCCAGGTGGAGCCTGTGGTTACGCGGCCTCTCGGAAGCACAGGGGCGGGGCTCCTGGGCAGCTCAGTCAGTGAAGCCTCCGCCATCCGCCCGGGTCATGATCCCAGAGTCCCAGGATCAAGCCCCGCATTGGGCTCCCGGGCCCAGCTACAAACAGGCTACTTCGTGCCAATGAGAAGCCATGGCCGGAGGCCGGACAGTCCTGGGGAGAGGAGGGAGGACAGGAGCGGGTGCACTACAGGCCCACCGTGGCGGCGGCTGTACTCACAGGAGCTGGAGCCTCTCCGCAGCGCTCATGCGGCTCAGCTCGGCGGGCCGGGGCCTGCGGCTCACTCTGCTGGGGGCACAGAGACGCAAGTCAGCACGGGTTCCCCCCCCGACCTTCTCCCGCTGCAACGCCACAGTCGCCAGCACAGTCTGCCCCCTGCGGAGCGGTCACCAGGAGGCACACGAGGCAGCAGGAAGGGCGAGAACACCAGAGCCCCGGGCCACACCTAAATTTAGCCTCCAGCCCGGGAGACCTCGTCCTTTATTCATGGTTTCCGTTAAAATATGAATGAGAAACTCATCTCCTGTGTCCATGCTCAATGCAGGCCTGCGGAGACAGCGGCTCAGAGCCACACATTTCCCTGGGCCATCGTGGACGCCCCGCCCGCGGCCAGCCTGTCACGCGTCACACCCGCAGCCCAAGCCACCACAACTCTGCTCCTCTCACTGCCGTCCCTCCCCGTGCTCACCCCGAGCAGGCCCCTCTCGGCATGGCTGGCATCTCCAAGCCCTGGATCCGAGCCCCCACCCCAACACCCCTGTACCCCACCCACAAAAAGGTATAATCGGACTGTCTGGGTGGCTCAGTCAGTTAAGCATCCGACTCCGGATTCTGGCCCAGGTCATGATCTCAGGGTCATGCGACTGAGCCCTGCGTCGGGCTCCGCACTTGGCAGGAAGTCTGCACCCCCAGCACCGGAGGCAGTGGCTCCGGACACCAGCTGACGATGACCCTTGGGACAACCTTTGTACCTCTGAAACCTCAGCTTCCCTGTCACACCGGCAAATGCTTTCCTGTGGAAGCACCCAGGAGACTCCCAGCTTTGCGGCTCTCCTGCAGGCAGCGGAGCCCGGCCCCAGCACTCGCCTGCCGATGTGCGGGAGCCCACATGGCATGTCCCACCCCCCGGGGCCTAGAAACCAAGCAGGCAGAAACCCCAAACGATGCAGGCTCATCCAAATCCACAGCTCCAGGTGAGGCTGTGAAGTCCAGCCGGGGGCGGCCCAGTGGGTCCCACGGCGCTATTCCCAGCCCGCTCTCCGTAGCAGCTGCTGGTCTGTAAGATCTGGGGGGGCTGAGCCGGCAGGAAGCACCCCCGACCCTGGTTGCCGACCAGGGGCGCTCTGAGAATCCATGGCAGCAGCCTCAAGATGTGGCCAAGGCCACCAGGCCCACATGGGGTCCAACAGGTGGCTGGACTGGCGGCTTAGCCACACAGAGCTCCCCACTCCAGTTCCAGAAAAGACAAGGTGACCTTGGCCTGACGTTCTTTTCCCAGAGAACGGGTTTCCTAGAGAACCTAACCTTCCACCGATGAACAGTGTCACTGTGCTGGTGCAACTGGGCAGTGTGGTGCCCCCCAGATGGCAGGGGACACCACCTGGGAAGCCGTGCTCAGACGGCTCGGACCCCAGGCTCTCTGTGGCCGCCGCCCCCCAAGGCCACATCACGGGTGTGGGACGAGCTTAGAGCGGCCCAGGGCCTCGGTCAGGGTGGCCCAGTAGGTGACTGGTGACCCTTGCACTCAGGTCTGGGGGTCCAGGACCACAAGGCCAGCCCCCTCCTGTCCCATCCCGACGCTAAGACACACCCAGAGGAGGGGGGACAACACACACTAATCAGCAGTCACCTGTGCCATCTGCCTGCCTCCTAGACTCAGCCTCTGCTGTGGCCCATCCAGCACGGAACCTCCCCCTGGCTACAGGACCCTGCCCCGGTGAGGCAGGAAGGGGACCAAACGCTTCCTGTGACCACACTGAGGGCTTGGCCTGTGCTCAGGACTGCAGGGCTGAGGGGTGAGCTCCCAGGGACTCTACCCTGTAAGATGGGGCTGGGGGCTCTCAGCTGGGCCGCAGCCGGCTCAGAAGCACAAGGGACAGAAAGGAAACAAAGGCCCAGCTCACCAGCCGCCTGGGGAAGGGGGACACAGAGCTCAGAGGGCACGGCTGGTTGGCACAGTCCCTGTGTACTGTAAACACAGACACGGGCTGTACCCTCACCCCACCCCATGGGGACAGGATGGCGGGAAGGTCTGCATTTGGACCCTCCTGGTCCCCGCCCAAGGGCCTCTCCCGTGGCTAACTCTGGCCCGTTCCCTTCAGCCTGCTGAGTTCTGAGTCCTAGAGAACGACTAAAACTAAGGGTGATCCTGGGGACCCTCAGACTCCAGGCCAGTGTTACAGGGAAGGTGGTCCTGTGGTGCCCGGCCGGCTCAGTCAGTGGAACATGTGACCTGGTGTCAGAATTGTAGGTTTGAGCCCCACAGTGGGTGTGGACATTGCTTAAAAATAAAATCCTAGGAAAAAAACAAAAAAAAAGATGGACTTGTAAACCATTGTAGTACTTTTGCAGGAACGCACTGGGGGCGCACACAGAGCTCCTCACTCCCGCCGCAAGACAGACCGGGGCGCCCGCAGAAACGCTGATTCCAGGATCAGGCAAGACCTGCGCCGGGGGCCCTAGAGCACCAGGCAGAGCCAGAGGGAAGGAGCCCCCACCCTGATGGGCGTGTCAGAGGGACAGAGGAGCCACCTGAAGGGGCTCCCGGTGGCCAGAGCCGGACCCGTGCCAGCCACACAGTGAAGTCGTGCTGGATCACAGCCCGCACTGTACGTAACCACCCACGAGTCTGCACTGACATCGGTCAGCGGCTCACGCGCACGCTGGTGCCGAAACGGTATTTCTCTCCTCCGAAGGAGAACCCCCCAGTGTCTGCGCAGCCGCTCTGTCCTCGGGGAGTGGAGTGTGCCTCCCCCTCCTTAGGTGTGGGCTGTGCCCCAGGGGACGGTGCAGGGAAGGGAAGGAGCCACGTGGGGTGGGGACACCCGGCAGACCCACCTCCGCCAGGTGACCACGGCCCACGTGAGCAGTGACAGGTGCCCCCAGCGCCCGGTCCCCCTCCACGCAGTGTGGATGGGAGGACACGGACACTTCCCCTTTGCGGTCTTCCCAACAGCCCCTGACCCCGGTCCACTCATGAGGAACCACCATGGTAATCCCAGCAAGGGGCGTCTCCCCAAATGCCTGACTGGGCCTCTCCGCCTAACACTAGGGGTCCTCGGAAGGACGGTCACAGCCAAGAGGAGACGGAAAGGGACGTGACTGATGTTGCCTGGTGTCCTGGACGGGATCCTGGGATAGATGTTAGGGGAGACTGAGAAAATCTGAATAAACCGTGAGCTTAATCCCATCGCTCTTATTTATTGCTGTTATTTACGTATCGACGCTGGCTCCTTTAACGGCGCCCGACGCATCCCGGAAGCTGCCACTGACAAGGGGCTGGGTGTCAGGGACGTGGCAACTCTCGGTCCTCTCATCATTCTTCTGTAAATCTGAAACTCTTCTAAAATAACATTATTCAAATAAACAGCCTCCCAGTGCCAAGACACACTTAAGGAGAGACAGTGACCCTGTCCAATAGGAGGCTCAGGGGGGAGACCAGCTGGGGACCTTCCTGCACCCGGAGTGCCGGAAGCCACCTCAGCTACGGCCCAGCTCGGCACCCAGGCCGCGAGAGGCCACCGGCCGGGTGCTTACGTGGCTCTTCTTCCCCCAAGGAGCCCCGAGCACATTTTTCAGATGAGAAAGCTGAAAGCAGGGAAAGGACACTTGACCGGGGTCACATTTTTTATGGAGAACCGGGGGGATTTGCCTCTCAGGCTCTGGCTCCATCCCCAGTCTCAACTGTGAAGGCCACTCCTTGACTCCCTGTCCGGACTAAAGGTTCTGGGTGCTTCCATCCCGGCTGGCCCGGGATCTTCCAACTCTGCGGCCTAGTGGCCCTGAGCATGTCGTTGGACACCCCCCTGCCAAGCCAATGCAGTGAGGCCCAGGGAGGGACTGCAAAGGGACTGGCTTCCCTAGAGCACGCGAGTCCCAGGGAGGCAGGAAGCGCTACAGGCACGCGTGCTTCCGGGAGGGGCAGCTGAAGGCCGCGGGTGTGGTGGCAGGCAGGGTCCCTGCGGGGTGAGCCCAGCAGCTGGAAGGACCCACCACACCACGGCCCTCCCGGCTAAGCCACTCCGAGGCCCGCAGTGGAGAAGGCCGACAGGCGCCCCTCGTCCACACGCTGGCCGGGCCGCCCGCCGCCAGAGGCCCCAGGGCTCCCAGCCCCACGCGAGGGAGTCACCACACCACCTGCCTGCCTTGAGGCTCGGGCCACGGGAGCGAGGGCTTCTGCACCAACAAGGAGGTCAGGCGCCTCAGTGGCCTCTGCCCCCCCCCCCCGGCCCCCCGTCGGTTCTTCTCGGGGCTCTGGACACAGGTCAGCGGCTGCCGCCCCGGAAAGGCCGGCCCCATCCTGGTGCCGCAATCCCCAGGCCGCAGACGGACACTCACCCTCGGGCACGGGGCTGCCGTGCACCCGCCTCCAGCTCCAGCAGCTCAGGGAGGGCATCTCTCAGGGGCTGCAGGTCCCCCACCACCACCGCAGCCCTCCGTCTCCGCTCCGCCTTGCGCTGTCGCTCCGCCAGCTTAATGGCTTCGATTTCTGGGGGGAGGGAGGCCAGTGGGTTAGCAAAAGGAGCAGAGAGTAAGGGACGAGCACACAAGCAACCGGCTTCTTCCCTGAGCGGGGCCGGCGGGCCGGAGGCAGGCCGGCAGCCTAACGGCGAAGGCCAAAACCGAGCTGCACGCGCAGGCGCTCTCTTTCTGAAAGGGATGCTGGCGCGGCGGCCTGTGCGTGGTGGGCATGGGGGCTGCTGCATCAAAGGGGGCGAGGGGCGGACGACAGGAACAGTGGGTCACGGAGGGGCATGCACGCCTGTGCTCCGCACGCTTCCCCGGGGACGCACCAGCAAGGAGAAAGCAGGTCCCCACATATGGGAGCAGGCGTCACGGGGCTCCCAGAAGGCGCTGCACAGTGGTCTGGGCCTCTGAAGGGGCAGCGCAGCCCCTGGGAAGGGGGCCCTGGGGTAGGCTGGGGGCCAGCATGGCTGAGTGGAGAACAGGGAGCTGGAGGCGGAGCCCGCACCAGCCAGCAGGGCAGGGCCTCCCCGCTGGAGGAGGGACGAGGGCAGGGCCTGCGTGGGGGCACAGCCTTGGGAATTTCTTTTTTTTAGATGTATTCGTTTGAGAACACGTGGGCACGAGTGGGGGCAGGGCAGAGGAAGGGGGAGGTGCAGACTCCCTGCTGAGCGTGGAGCCGACACAGGGCTGCATCCTGGGATCCTGAGACCAGGATGTGAGCCGAAATCGAAAGGTGGACACTTAACCGACGGAGCCCACCAGCACCCCAAAGCCTGGGGATTTGATTTTCACTTAAAAATATTTTTATTTTACAACTGCTAATAAAATATGTGTTCCAACCAGTGTGGCTGGCAGGCAACTGCCAGAATTTGGGAGGCGGCGGCAAGGCTGCGCCCCAGTCACTCCCCTGACTCCCGTGTCCACACCTGCCGGCCGATGAGAAGCCCAGGGGAAGGTCCCCAGAAACCAGGTGTGCGGCGGACAGCACGTGACAGATGGCACCTTGCATCATGCACAGCGCAGCTGGGTCCCAGCCCCTGACCCCGGCCTGGGAACCACTCACACCCCTTCCGTCACTGCCCCACCAGAGGCTCGAGCCCCGGCCCCACAACAAGAAGACATAAAAACGTGAGGTGAGGAAGATGAAACGTCCTCTCCACTTTAGGTGGCGTGATTTTCATGTAGAAAGTTCTAAGGACGCTACAGAATAACTATCAGGACACACGACTTTAGCCCCGTCAAAGGACACAATATTAAAAAGCCGTCTTACTCACTAAGAGGGTTGCTGGGGGAGGGGGTGTGGAGAGGGCGGTTGGGGGACGGACACTGGGAGGGCATGTGCTGTGGTGAGTGCTGTGAAGTGTGTAAACCTGACGGTTCACAGACCTGCACCCCTGGGGCTAATGATACATTCCATGTTAATAGAAACAGTAACAAAAAAGCCATGTTATTTACTAATAGAAAACTAGAAAATGAATCTTTCAAGAATCCCATAACTATAACTATAAAACGGTCAGTAACGAGCTTAACAAAACAGGACAAAGACCCGCGTAAGACCCCTACCGTGAAGACCGTATGACGCCAACAACGGAAATGAAAGAAAGTCCGCATTAAGCGGAGAAACAGACGTGTCCGTGAACGTGAAGATGCGGTACTGTCAACACGGCAACGTTCCCCAAACCGACCTATACACTCAAGGCACCGCAGCCGTAGCCAGGCAGGGCTGTCGGTGGGGTGGGAGTCACGCAGCCGGGCGCCCACGGCAAACTCCACACGGAGCCGCCATGGACGTGGCCCCGCAGAGAACCGGGGCGGAGGGCGTGGCCACGAGACCCCACAGCCTCCCCGACAGCGGCATCAGCCGACAGCGGCGCCCCCAAGCCGACCCAGGCCCCGGAGGCGACACAGTGTGCGCGAGGACACGGAAACGAGCAGAGGAGGGACGCGGAGGCTCCTCGACAAACCGCGTCCAGGGACGGGGCACCCCCGCGGGGACAGCGAGCCGCGGCCAGTCCCGCATGTGCCCACACGCGCTCCCCGAGACGGCCCAGAAGCCGAGCCAACCGAGCGACGGGGCGGTCGGAGACGCAGGACGGCGTCTCGAGGACTCGAGATCGGGCGGTTTTCCTACACGAGACACGCACACGAAACGACCGCATTAAAAAAGGGTAAACCCAGCCCCTCACGGTGCGGGAGGACGTCGGCAAGAGCGCTGGACGCGGCGACGGAGGCGAGGGACCCCACGAACCAGACCCGGCCAGGGCACCCACGCCGTGCACGGGTGCCGTGGCCGAGGCAGCAGGAGCGTCTGACCGCTCCAGACAGACGTCTGGTCACGGCTCGTAAAACCGAACACACACCTGCCTGTGGCCTGGCGTCCCGTTCCCAACTAGTCCTCACGGAGAAATGGCAACACGTTCCACAGGAGACCGGAACCGACGCTCGCAGCCGCCGTCCTCCCAGCAGCGAGGAGTGAGCGGCAGGCGTCCGGCAACAGGAAAGCGGCCGCACATGGCGCACCCAGATAAACCCTCCCGGCGAGAGGGGGGCCCGGGCCACACCCCACACGGAGGCGCGGAACCTCCAACCGTCCCACGGGGCCAAGAGACGCGCACACACCGAGCACACCCACGAGGCCGGCTTGCAGGCGTCTGCCACCGTCACATCCCAACCGCGGACTCAGAGAGGGGCGGCGGTCACGGCCGGGGCCAGGGATGGCGGGGACTAGTGGGGGGCACAGGGGGCTTATCGGGGCTGCTGCTCCGCCTCTCTCGGGGACTGCTGGCACCTGCGCGTGCGGTGGCCCGCGGCCTGGCCATCCATCGGAGGCCGGCTTCTCCCCATAGTGAAGAGAACCGCCAGCAGAGGCTGTGCTGCAGCAGAGTCATTCGGAACAAAGTGTCCTGCCCTCTGCCACCCACGGAGCAATGTGTGGGTGGGACCTGGGTGGTGGACAGAGGGGCAAGAATGGACAGAGGAACAGATGCAGTAAAGAACAGTGTCCAGGGGCACCCGGGTGGCTCAGTGGGTTAAAGTCTCTGCCTTCGGCTCAGGTCATGATCTCAGGGTCATGGGATCGAGCCCCACATCAGGCTCTCTGCTCAGCAGGGAGCCTGCTTCCTCCTCTCTCTCTCTGCCTGCTTCTCTGCCTGCTTGTGATCTCCGTCTGTCAAATAAATAAATAACATCTTTTTATTAAAAAAACCTTCAGAGAAAAAAATTAATTTTAACCATGAGTGGACATACTGGATGTAACAATTTTAAAAAGTCAAAAGAACCAAAAAATAGTATAAACAAATAAATAAAAATAAAAGTGAACAGAACCACACTAAAATGAGAATAATAAGGAAAAAATCACAAAGCAAGCCTCGTAGGAAAATCCTTAGCGAACCACCAGTGTGTATTCAGCAGCAGGAAAACGCTCTAGACGGGACACCCGGCGTGGTGTGGCATCTGCCGGAGGCCCGGGACCAAGCCCCCGTAGACGGGCCGGGGGAAGGGAGGAGCAGGGGCCCCAGGATGGTTCTGCCGGGAGACCCTTGCGACAGCACTGTCACCTGCACGCTCACAAGCCAGCCCTGCACATGCGGAGCCCAGAGCCACAGTGCTTGGGGAGGAGGGGTCAGGGCATTGCTCCGGGCCATCAGCCACCTGTACAGGGATGGGGGCCGTAGCGATGGGGGCCGTAGGGATGGGGGGCACAGGGGCTGGACACGGACTTACTCTGCAGCCACCTCTCACGCCGCAGCTTCAGCTTCTCCTTCTTGGGTAAAACCACCCTGGGCTCCACACCTGAGGACAGAGAACACACGGGAGTGAGCGGGGTGCTCCGTGCCCACAGCGGGGAGCTCGAGCTGTGCACGGCAGCCCAGTGTCAGGCAGTGCCCCTGACCCCGGGAGGACCTCTGGCAGGCGGCCCAGAGACCCCACACAACTCATCAGGAGGCGGCATGCGCTCTCCACTCAGGCAAAGCCTAGTGGCACCAAGGAGGAAGCCCATGGCCCTGAGCCCTTGCACCCTGGAGCAGAGGCTCACGGTCCCCCCCGCTTGCAATTCCTCCCCTACCCGTTTGCACGGGCGCTGCCCAAAGCCAAGGGTATCGGGTGAGTCTGGTCAAAGCAAGAGATGGTCCCAGATCTTGTCACTGATTCTACCAAGACAGTAAGAAAAACCCACTTCTGGGGCTCCTGGGTGGCTCAGTGGGTTAAGCCTCTGCCTTCAGCTCAGGTCATGATCTCAGGGTCCTGGGATCGAGCCCCACATTGGGCTCTCTTCTCTGTGGGGAGCCTGCTCTCTCCTCTCTCTCTCTCTGCCTGCCTGTGATCTCTCTCCATCAAATAAATAAATAAAATCTTAAAAAAAAAAAGGAAAGAAAAACCCACTTCTCCTCACACAGTGCCTTCTGCAGGGGTCGGCTGTCCACTCTTGCCTGCCAGCATGGGAACGTGTCCCCAACATGGCCCTGGCCTTGCCAGTCCAGGGTCACAGGGTGAAGAGTGCCCCACACGCCTTCTCCTCTGCCCCAGAACACAGGCCACGGGCGGACCCTCCCACCACCTTCCCTCCTCCCCCCAGCTCAGTGGGCAGGTGGCCTCCCCACCCTATCAGCCCACCCTCACCCCCATGTATGCCTGCACACCCCCATTTTATGGACTAAACTGTGTCCCCCAAACGCACATGCTCATGTGCTGATCTCCAGGCCCTCGGAATGCAACTGTGTCAAGACACAGTCTTTACTGAGGGCACCAGGGTGGCCGATCCGAGGTGACTGGGCTCCTCACAGAAAGAGAGATCGCAGACACGCACGGGGACGACAACACGAGGATGTGGGGACGACGGCCATGCATGCGCCCACAAGAGAGGCCTTAGGAGGGCCCGAGCCAGCCAGCATGCCGACCTCAGATGCCCAGTCCCCAGACGGTGAGGGCTACTGGTGTGGAGTCTGTTCCAGCCACCCAGGCGGACCCGCACATCCATCTGCTCAGGAATAAGGCAAAGCCCTGTGCTTCCACCATAGCTGCCAGGCAGCCAGCCCGCATGGCCCTGCCCGCCCAGTGCCCACGTGGACTGAGGAGTTACTGGGCACTGGCGTGGCGTCCCCCGCTGCCCCCAAGGAAAGGGGCGCCCATAGTGCTTGTTCACGAACTACCTGAAGAAACCTGCTGACCTTTAGGAGCGCTGGGCACCTGTCAGCGACCCTACGAGCTAGCCCCGTGTCAGAGGGGGCCGAAACCCCGGAGTCCCGGGAAAGCTAGCGACTGGGATGGGCAAGGAGTGTGCGAGCGAGCCTAGCGGCCTCCACGGCTCGGCGGCCCCGGGCTGGGCCCTCAGAAACTGCCCGGGGACGACGCTGCTGGAGGGTAACGGAGACACAGGACGCGGAGCAAAGCCTGAGCCACGCGGGCACAGGTGGAGCCTCTCAGATGGCTCAGAAACCCCCTTGGCCCTGGCTACAGGACACGGGGCTCTCGCCCTCAGCAGCCGGCCAGGACGGGGGCGAGACAGAGGAGCCCCTGCCCCCAGCAGGCCAGAGAGCGGCAGGGCAGCACCTGACGTCCCTGACCCAAAGCGGACCCCCCGCCGGACGAAGCCAGTCAGTCTGTGTCAGCAGAAGCCATCGAGAGCCCCGAGGACGCTGGGGCAGGGCCTGCAGGTGCCTCAGACGGCACTGCGCCTCCCCTTCCCCAGGCCCCTCCTTCTCCAAGGGCAGGACGTCAGGATGGGCCTGGAACTACACGTTGGGCAGCGGGACCTCCGCAAAAGGAGGGACCTTTCATAAGGTACTGAGCGCCTCGAGCCTCTGCATTCGAGGGTAGCTGGTGGCACAGACAGGAGGGCTGCTTCGGGCGTGGTCCGTACAGTTATGACGCAAACCCCGAGAGCCCAGCGGTAAGCCTCTGGGATTCTTCCAGCCGCGGGAAGAGAGGCTGCTCACATCGCCAGAGCTGCCGCGGGCGAGACACGCAGGCGTCCCCGGGCTCTGTGCACCGGAACCTGGCCCGACCTGGGTGGGGCAGGGAGCAAAGCGTGGCTGCCAGGCTCCGGTGCACAGAGACGGACCAGTCTGGCTGCCGTGTGCCCCACACCAGGGCCGTGGCACGTGGGAACACAGGCTGGGAGGGCGCGGGGCCAGGAGCCACCAGACGCTGCAGAGTGTGTCTGCCTCCCGTGCGCTCTCAGCACAGTGTGGTCCCAGGCCAGCTCCACTTCCTTGGCCTTCACGGGGCCTGAGCCCAGGGCACACGCCACCCAGGGCACAGACTATGAGTCACGCGCGTCTCCGATGCAGCTCTACTTCCGCCGCTCTTCTGGCTCACACGGCAGATCTGGGGCATCTGACAAGAGAGCGGAGAGCAGGGCCGTCAAAGAAAGGGGGTGCGTGTGCTAAACTAGACTCTTCGTCTCAGAACCCGGGGCCCCCAGGAGGATTTAATCCCTTCTCCAAGAGTAAGACCCTGCACGCTCTGGCCTTGCGCTGGAACCTCCAGACTCATGCGAGGTGACCTGCTTTCCTCCTCGTGGCCCTGCCACCCCCAAACCCCCGCGGAGAGCGGAGGCATTGTGTGACTTTCCGGTCACCCTCAGCTGCTCCCAACAGGGCGCGTGCGACAGGGTGGACAGAAGGGGCTGCAGGGTGCAGGCGCCGGGCACCACTGCTCCTGAGATGCCCCAACCCCGCTGTGCTGTCCAGCCCCACGTGCGGGCCTGCTGCGGGCCACGGAGGGCATCTCTGCAGCCCCATGCAGGCGTCAGAGGCCCCTGGGGGTCGGGGAGACGTCCACATGTCCCAGTGCCATGTCAAGCCACAGACGGGTGACAACGGTACCCACTGTGGGCTCAGGGGGCACCTGACTGGGGTATAATCCTGGGCAACGGAGGCCAGTGTTGGGAACGGAGCTGACGCACCCATCCAGTGGACGAACGTGGGCGGGTGGCCTCCCAGGGAAGCCTCTGACCGCGGGACGTGTAGACGGCTCGCTCTCACACGACCAAGGAAGACCGAGACTCCCAGCCGCACGGCCTCTGGCTGACGCACAGGCCACGCACACGGTCCGGGGCGCCTGTGCCTCGACCCCACCCCAGGGGCCTCAGCCCAGCAGCCTGTCCCCACGGCACCAGGGAAACGGGAACCAAACATGCCCTCACTGTAAGACAGCCGAGCACCCGCAGAGGGAGGCCCCCCAGGGCATCTAGAGGGTTCCAAAGCCCAAGCCCCCACGGACTAGGCAACGCCCCTGCTCTGCACGGAGGCTACAGCCCTGGAATGACACAGACCAGAGGGCAGGAGGGGAGCGGTGGCTGGTGGGCCAGGTGGACAGACCCTATGGACAAGCCATGGCAGCACAGGCTTCAGGAAAGGTGGTACCTGGGGGCATCGGGATGGTCTGGGCAGCCAGAGCCCGAGGCTGAGCAAGGCCAGACAGCTGCCCGGGCACACCTCACTGTCCCTGAACGGTGTCAGACCCGGAGCGGAGGCAGCCCTGGAAGAAAGAGAAACACAGATCCTGGGGGGTTAAGGCCTCTGTGGCAGCCTTCTTACAGGAGACTGTCACACACATGCAGGAGAGGGAGACCATGAAGAACCCTCGAGTACCTCCAGCTGTGTCCACTCCGACCCGGTGGCTTACAGCACACCTCCGTCCCGGTCTCGTGCCCTCCGCCCCCAGGCCCCACCAGCGCCTGCTCACGAGTGCCCCCGGGGGCCGGAGCCAACAGCTATGAAAGGGGACCCACCCTCGGCACCGGCACCAGGGGAACCAGCCAAGATGGGTCAGGAGACACTCAGGGGGACACGGCGGTCTATGCAGGCACCAAACCCCTGCCATGGCCCCACATCAGGGCCCCCCTGGGCTCAGCCCCGGACATGCCACTCTCACGACTCCAAGCAAGGACACCTCTCCTGGGCAGACGGGAATCCCCACAGAGCTGCCTGACTGTGGCTTCTACACAGCGGCACACCAGCGGGGCCTCTGCCACAGGGGCCGGCTCCCGGGGACACTGGCTCACATCCTACCCAGAGCACCCCCCAGTTCTGCTCTGGCTCAGTTACTCCCGCCCGGCGGGCTGCCCTCCTGTGGTCGCAGGGGTTAGAGGGTGCCGGTCCCACAGGCCCTGTCCCTCCTGATGCCCAGCAGACTGCTGGGCCATGTCTCAAAGGAAGACATGGAGGCCCAGGAACTGCCCAGAACCAGGCAAAGGGAGCGCAACGGGCACCTCCCACCCCGGGGCCCACAGACCCACGTGCGCCGTCACTGTGGGCGGTCCCAGTTCTCACACTTACGACAGAGGATACGCACCACATCTCTAGCCGCCACCGCAGCGCAGCAAGCTGTGTGTGACCCACGAGAGCAGAAACCCCAGCCTCAGAGAAATGGGGCTGGGCGAGATGACGCTGGCCTCTCCGGTCCCAGGCTGGAGGCCTGGAGTTCCGCACGCAAACTTGGGTCCCAGTCTGTCCCAGGGCTGCTGTCCTGGGCGTGCCCTCTCCTCCAGAACCCCCAGGGTCAACACTACAGCCTCGCCGCTCGGGGGGGAGGAACAAGAGGTGTCCAGCAGCCTTCTTGACAAGTGACAGAAGCTGCGCCCTCGGGGCCGGTCACCCCCACGAGCGCCCACCGACCTCAGGGCCGGGGCCAGGAATGCCAGCCCCGGGTGTCCACGTGCCGCAGCGAGCAGCGAGCTCTCACCTGCAGGGTCAGAACCAGTCTCCAGACTAAAGTCAATGCTCGAAACAACCCGCTGACCATGCTGAGCAGGAGGAAGGGCGGCCTCCCGCCCTCGCTGTGCCCCC